TTGAACCCAACCTGTGGACATTCGTGGCCCCAAAGCTATCACCGGCCTCCGAGGCTTCCTCTCGAAGGCAAATAAGTGGAAAAGCCCTTCTACGGACACTCTTACTTGAACATGTTCAGCATATATCACCATCACTTAGCAACTCATCAAAGTCATCAAAGTAGGGATCCTAGAGTCCCAAGTTAAAACATGTTCATCCATCAGTTCCAAGGGTGCCGAAAGCCAGCCCGACATGGAACTGCCAGATGATGCAACATGATGCAACAAATCCCATACTTCATGATGTAAACCTCCTTTGGCACCTGGGATCACCTACCATCCACACCGCCTCGGACCGCTCTGGGCCGTTGGTGTCTGACCGCAGCTGAAGTCGGAACGGCGTAGCTATGGCCGATCAACTGAGGTCAGCGCCTTGGGTCACCAGTGGATGATGGTTAGTAAAAGAATTTGTTGCGCAATATTTCATTGTTTACTGACTCTTACAAGTAATAGGGCAAACCCCCAGCTATATGCCAGTCCAGAGTTTCTGGGATTCAACACATCTTCACGGAGAGCTGGTCTGCTTTCCCCTGGCTCAGTCAGCCCTGGCCCCTACCAAAGCCGTTGCGCCCGGGGCGGAAAACGGACGGTCCTCCTGGGCGGCGAACTTGGCATCAAGAGTTGCTTGCAGCCAACTCCTCAGTAGCTTTTGTGGCGCTTGGTGGCCCTGAAAGAATCCTTTGGGAGTGACACAGTCCTAGGACTTACCCCACAAAGCCTTCTGAAGAAACACAGGTAGTATCAACTAGCACTAGTAGCAGTTATGGTGGCAACTAGCAGTAGTTTGACAAACCTGGCTGGTGTAACAGTGTGCCACCAACATCCACGCGTCATCGCCTATATTAACCTACCTGCGGCCGCTGATAAGCCAGCTGGCAGCATCTCTGGAACTTCTTCAAATTCCTCCCAAAAGGTCAAGAGGACTCAACCCCCACAGCTGTCATTCTTGTTACGTGCGAGACTTGTCTAGGGGTCACCAAAGGCGGCTTGCTGGTGCAATCGCCTCGTCCAAAATCGTTCACCTTCACTGATCCCCACGACGGCCGGTCGGCCGATCTGGCCGATCTGGCCGCTCCGTTCCCGTTTTGGTGCTAAGGGGCTGCAGCTCGCTCCATTCCGGAGCCCCTTTTTGGAGCGACATGGATGACCACTGAAGCCCGTGCTGCGCTGACTGAAGCCGGGCGAAGTAGGCAGCGTAGCTCTACGTGGTACTTCGCGGGGGGGACAAAAATTGAGCACCGTACCCTAAGTCACCCAAATTAGTAATTTTACTAACCATAAAATTTACGTAAATTTTTGGTTTTACTAAGGAAAATTTACGTAAAAATTTACGTAAATTTAATAGTAAATCCAATTTAGGTTATGAGTAAATCCAATTTAGGTTATTAGTAAATCCAATTTAGGTTATTAGTAAATTTTTTAGGTTATGAGTAAATTTTTGTGAGCATGATTTTGAAGCAGAAAATGTCTCTATTTATGTGAGTTGGCTTTCTCCAAAGAGGCAGGTTTTCTACAGGACAACATGTACTTGAGTATATTTGCGCTATGGATTTTTGTTTTTGTTGACTGAGCATGCCAGGAGGTGTGGACTTTGCCTTTACTTGAAGGGATTGCATTTACTTGAGCATGTGTACCCTTCTTGACTTGAACAAAACATTTTTACTTGAGGGTGTCTACTTGAGAGAGTAAATTTACTTGAGGATATGTACTTTTCTTCACTTTAGGAACAAGAGCATTCTCTGATTCTCTAATGGTTTTTGCCAGTGTGAGGGTGCATGTTTTATGTCAGAGATCTTTTGGCTCTGTGAGAAGAAGAAAAAGAAGAAGAACAAGAGACACCTCAGCAAGAAGGAAACAAGCAGTGAAAGGGCCAGGAAATTGCGCAAAGCTGACAAGATTCTTGGACTGAACTTTAAACAAGTTTGTTTGTTGAAAATTAATTGTTCAAGTTTGTATTAACTGCAGCAAATGAACAAGAGTTATGTCAATGTTGGCTTGAAACCATTGTCAGGAGGCGTGACCGCATCAATGCCATGATGGACTTGATGAGGACGCTGCAAGATGACAGCAGTTCATCTCTGGAATCCTTGGAGTGAAAAAGACACAAGCAGCCTTTGGGGTAGAGTTGAGGGCACGCATTGTGACATGATGTTGAGAAGCTGTTACATGAAGAAGATCTGACTTTACTTGAGAAGCTTTTACATGAGGGTGTGACTTTACCTGTTGAGCTTTTACTTGAGGATGTGATTTCACTTGAGCATGGCACACTTTACTTGAGCATGGCAGACTTTACTTGAGCATGGCACACTTTACTTAAGCATGGCAGACATTACTTGAGGATGGTTTTTACTTGAGTGTATTTTACTTCAGTGGTTGAGACTTTGTGTAAGTATACTTTACATGAGGATGCCATTCAACTTGGAATTGTGCGCTTAGTCTTGTTTAGTTTTGTTGTGAGTTGAAGTGTATTTGATATGTATTTATGAAATTTAGTTCAAAAACTATAAATTTAAGAGAAAATATTGATGAATTCTTGATGAACTTTTGATGCACTTTTGATGCACTTCTGATGTACTTTTGATGTACTTTTCAAAAGTGTATACACTTTTGATCAAAAGTGTATACACTTTTGTTAAAAGTGTATACACTTTTGAAAAGTACATCAGAAGTGCATCAAAAGTGCATCAAAAAATCATACAATTTTTTGACAGGTTTTTTGAAAAGCTATGATATTCTGCATCATATTGTCAGCAAAAAGATATCTAGCATTCTTGTGGGTTTATCCTTTACCTGAGAATGTAAAGCTTTTGCACAAAGAGTTGA